ATATTTTTACGATATATAAAACTGCTGAAATTATTTCCTCTGACGACATCTCTAAATGTGATTGAAAAATAGGTGTGGGTAAGCAACAAGATAACACTATGACTATTCGAACGCGCATTCACCGTTCGACTGGAGCGCGACTCTCGTGTAACGCCGCCCGCACCGCTGCCGCCGTTAAGTACAGCATATGCAAAGTGAGGCATTTGAATCAAATCGCCTGTATCACTGTTGTCCAGTTTGTAACCTAAGGGAAACATTACAAACCTCTTGAGCACGATCCCTAAGGTGCGGTTCTCGGTAAAAAAAATCAACTTTCTAAGTAAGTACTTGATAAGTAAGATCGCGTTCCCATTACGTCACAACGTTTTATTTGCATTTGGATGACTGTTGCGTCTAGTCTGTTCTCATTTCACGACGGTCTGTTGTGACAGTGTCGTGAACGTTTATTTTATCGTTGAACGACTCTCGTGTCTAGCTGTTCCCATTAGATAGTGATGACATTTTCGTTTGCACGACAGAATCGTTTGAAGCTGCGATTATCTGTCGTTACATTTTTATCGTGACGTTTTATTTATCGTCTGATGACTGTCGTTCTAGCTCTTCCTATTGTCACGACAGTCTGTCGTCGTAACGTCAAAACAGTCGTGAAAGACGGTTAATCGCGTTGTTCTATGTGTGAACAACTTCATTTAAATATACAACCCACGACACTTAACTGCACGACTGTCTGTCGTCACGACATAATCGGAACACGCCCTTAAAGGTAAAAAAAATTGTTTTTTTTAACTTATCATCCAGAGGTCACGTATTAAAGAGCTATATAGGTATACCCCATATTGCTATATGGTATTTAGAAAAACACGTTTTTCATACTAATCTGATGCTTATATTATGTTATTATAGCTTGAGCCTGGAACATGTAACTTAATATAGTTTGATGCTGGATCTTAGAGAATTAGATTATATTTTAAACCAAAGGTTTTCACTATAAAAGCACTTCATCGAGTCTCCATTTTAGGACAATAATAATATGTTTGTTAATGGATTTGTTTGAAACCAGTAAAAACGTGATAACCTGATTTTGGAACAGTATAATGTACTCCAAACATTTTACTGTATAAATTAACTAAGATATTTTAAATATTTCGTAAGTAATAAAGATCGCTAACACACGCTTCTCTGTCCATGAATCTTGCAACATTCTTGGAAAGTTGTATAGAAATATCTCGGTATTGCATCTTACGTCCAAATTGAATTTGACAATCACTTGCCGTGATACTCTTCCGACAACTGCATTTTGCGTGTCGAATAAAAATACAATTATTTCGTACAATCAATACAAATATAATCGTTTCGTTTAATTTTTATTAAGAAACCAAGTGTCGGAACGAACAAGTCGAGCGCCTGGTAAAAAGCGTCACGCCTCTCCATAACAGCTGCAGTGCCACTCAGAGCTTCAAATCACAAAGATCTGAGAGAACCTGCTGCAGCCTACCGCGCTCGTCACCCTTAGATAAAAGTACTAAGTTGAAAAGTCCCATGTGCCTGTAATTTCACCAGCACCCTTACTTAGCCTTCTAAACCCAAACGCAGTAAGTAATGCTCACATTACTGCCTGGCGGCAGAAATAGGTGGCAATATTTGCAAGGTGGTAATCCTTCACCATCAACCCATTTATACATCCCACTGCTGGGCATAGGTCTCCTCTCAGGCGAGGGTTCCCAAGGAGCTCTACTGGTAAATGATTGTATTCTAATCGAACAGAGTAGTGGCATGATCGTGTCAAGTTATAACCTTAAATATCTCACAAACAACCAATCATATTATATCTGTATATTGACAGTTTCGAAGTTTCAGAAAAGTCAATTTTGTATGGCGGCCATCTTGAATTCGCCATATTAAAATAAATATTTACTTTAACTTAGGTCTGGTTTATAATTCAGGGTTCGAAAAACTTTGTGGTTTCAGTAGAATCTGACCAAAGTCCTTGGCGACTTTTATTTGAGAGCCCATTTCTGATGTTCTGGCCGGGTAGCCTCTGTCCTATACCACTATTCCCGTAAATTATTTTAAAAGATCTCTATTCCTTCTGGGAGAACAATTACCTGAATGTCTGTCTCCATCAGTCAGTGGTAATCGAGCTACCTACAAATAGATATGTTGCGCGTTGCGCTGGCCCGTTTAAGCGGCCGTGAGGGCTGTGTGTTAGGCTTGTGACTGTTTGCTATTTGTAGTTTTTGTTTCAGAAATATATATATATATCGGTTAAGTTTATTTGGTTGGGAGGAATTCAGGTAGTTGGTATGATCGCATCAAGTCGTATCCTTAAATACTTCAGAAGAAATTATTCGTATGTTATCAATAGTTGCGAAGATTCAGTAAGATCAATTTTTTAAAGCGATCATCTTGGATTCGCCATATTGGAAAATTTTTGGTCCTGGTTATACTTTTAGAAGTGATTTGTTTAAAGACTAGACACTTAAATATTTTTAACCCTGACTATGTCAAGAAATGTAGAACAAAATTTAACTGATAATAACAAACAGTTGTTGAAAGTCAAATAGCCGCTCACGCGATGCGCTCCTCCTACCGCAAAATGGCCGCTATTTGGTTTCGCAAATTAGAAAAGCATTCAGTTTAAATACAAGTTTTTATAAATAAAAATTATTATTCTGCATTGCTAAATAAATACCCTCCGTACTACCAACAAAAACATCTCAAATAAAATGCAGTAATGCACCGCAAATCCTGCACTTAAAAAGCACTAATGAAATATTTGGTGTACTTGGATAAATGTGATAATATTCCGTTTGAGTGGTTCTAACGTTTACCATGAAATTACTCCTTAAAGTGAAAAATGCTACTTACGGTATGTTTTCAATAAATAAACACCAAAATCACCAGCCCAAACAATAACACACACGATTGTCGTGACGTATTTTTGAAGTTGTTTATTTTTTTTAAGTGACAGACCCAAGCATTAAAAACTTTATGGTTTGCTAGAGTAGTGACCGAAATAGCAATTAATATTAGGGGTTAAAGTATGAAATTGCCGTTTTATTGCAATA